AGTAGTCAGATACTTGGGTAAGAACATCCAATACAACTACAAGAGAGTGCAACGCTTTAATACATTCAACTGCGGACATCTGGCTCTCAATTTTTTACTCTCTCTGTCTCCCGCCACCCCCTCAAACAAGTAAGAGAGGGGCGAAACGTTAGTTTTCCACATCCCTCTAAGCCCACCTCTCGTTCTCTGGGTGAAATGTACCGATCAGTGATCACAACAGGGGTGGTGCACCCACCACTTGTTCTCCATACGCACGCATCGGTGCACCCACCACCACCACCACCAGCACCCACCACATACGGTTAAGGGTGATATAGGGATGGATGTGGAAAACTCTCCCTCAAATGAAATGAGAACGGTACCTATGGAACGGAACAGGTATTCTATAAAACCTCATTGTTCTTGAAAGTAAGTGACATATAAAGTTATCAGCTAGACACAACAACAACAACAGCAACAGCAACAACAACAGCCCCAGGAAACAGCACCAGTTCCAGCACCTCTACCTGTTCCAGTACCTGTTCCAGTACCTGTTCCAGTACCTGTTCCAGTACCTGTTCCAGTAGCTGTTCCAGTAACAGCACCAACACCTCTACCGTTTCCAGTACCAACACCAGTTCCAACACCTCTACCCATCAACCCATCATGAATCAACAAAAGGAGCAGGGTAGCGATCAGGTACTCAAGGAATTCAATGGAATTCATAAGCCCTTGCTAACCAAAATGAAAATGTGTTGGGATGTTGGCTTCCCAATTCTTAAAGCCGATCGGAAGAAGACAAGGATTGGTGACTCACTTGCCCTGGAACTGGAGGATTTCATTTTATACCTACCAGAGAGGTATACTAATTTGAGTGATGATGCAATAGGTGCATTGAAAAATAAGCAGTATCGTATAGTTAAGAAGAGCGAAGATGACAAACTTCATTTGGAAATAAACAAATAAATAAATAAATAAAAATATATACTTTTTTAAACCAAACCCAACCTTGTCTTTATTATTAATATTTTTGAAGGGATATACATATAAATATTAATTCATTTTATCAACATAGCAGTATAACTTTTGAGTCGGCTGTTGGTAGACCTAACAATGAGTCGAATTATTTTAGAGCAGTTGACTAAGACACGAAACGTCTTGAAGAGAAAATTCGATGACCTTAAACAAATTAAGAATGAAAATGCAATTCAATGGGAAGAAAGTTTAAAACCGATTACAGATCCCTTACATCAACTCGTTAGTAAGAATAAAAATGAGAAATTTAAAAGTATCAAAAATGAGCACGACGACGACGACGACACGACGACGAAGAATACACTGACGTTAAGAATAGGAGTAAAAAGTTGTATATCAAGAGAAATCCAAGTTCCAAGTTTGAAGCTGTTGATGAGGATGAGGATGATTATCATGATGATGTTGTTGATGATTATCATGATGATGTTGTTCAGGATGATGATGATGATGATGATGATGAAGATGATGAATTCTTTTCCCAGTCAGCTTTAGAAGACACCACTGAACTTGATACAACCGCTGACAAATTTAATCTTAATATTAGTCAACTATTAAGAGACCATGTTTTAGACAAGGCTTATGGTCCTATTAAGGGTGCTAACTCACAATTAATGTTGGGCAGCAGCACTCTAAATATAAAAAATAAAAAAATTGAATTATCAAGTGGAAACACTTGGACCTTATCACCGGGTCTATATTCATTGATTTTTCATAGTAAACCAAATGGATACTCTGAAAATGAATTAGAGTCATACAAACAGATTTTACTTGAGACAAATGTATATAGACGAAATTACAGTCCAAATGATCAAATAAAAGGAAGTCGAGCAGAGAAATATGTAAAAATAATAAAGCCATTGTTGTTGGCGTCGTCGTCGTCGTCGTCGTCGTCAACAGCAACAGCAACAGCTACAACAAGAACAAAGCCCTCGGCTATGTCTACTCCATTGCGATCAAAGAGAGGGGGAGGGTACATGAAACTAATGCAAACAAAACCGAATTATGTGTATTGGAATGATGTCAATGAATTAGTACAACGCCTACAAATATTAATTGCATCACAAACTGCTGGTAATAATAATCATAACAATGAGATTATGTCAATAGTAGAGGAGTTGCGGGAATCACAGGTTATATACTAATAAATATGATAAGCACTCGAAATTTGCATACATATTCAAAATGTCTCTCGACAAGTTTGGACACTATTCAAATGATAAGAGGTGTTCAGAGCCCATGAAAAGAGAGATTAAATACGTATCGGGGTTATACCTTGATTCAGATGGTCATCTAAATGCTCTGAAAAAACGAATTAAGAACTCCTCGAAACCAGTAAATAGTAATGATTTGGTTGTGAAGCAATATGTTGATGATAAATTAACAGAAATGAAAACTAGACAAACTGCAACTATTTCAGAAGCACATGACCAGCGAAATGCTAAAGTAACAGAATTGGAGAAACGAGTAAAAGATCTAATTAAACTCATTGACACTGTTAATGGAATAATCAATGAGGTTATTAGACGAGTAAATAATCTTAATAGTTTTGTTCTGGAAAACTGTAAAATTCCAAAGACACAAAATATAGAAATAGATGTAACGAAGTTTAGGAAAAGTCCGTTTGCACATCGAGAATAAATATACTGCACACCCCAATATTAAACTTATATTCATCATGTCACTTGACAAGTTTGGACATTACTTCAGTGATAAACAGCAGCAGCAGCATCAACTACACTTGGGACAATTTAAAACAGATGTCAAAAGTATAATAGGTTTTCATATTGATGCGGACGGACATCTAAATGTAGAAGGAAAACGAATTAAAAATTGTCTAATTCCGACACATGCTGATGATTTGATTACAAAAGAATATTTAGATAATAGAATATATGAGGTGGAACTAGAAATAGCCAATACACTTTGGAAAATAGTTCGAAAACGAAATCCAAAAGTATCCCAAATACAAAATATCATAAAACAGCTTCAAGAGCGTGTAGAGAATATCAAAAAAACCATTCTAGATGAAAATATGCCCAAATTAGATACTATAGAAGATTACCTTTTTAAATATGTTTCAACAGCCTCATCAATACCAACAGAATTAACGGGTGATACCTCTTTAATTGGTATAACCAGTTTAAAAATAGAAGAGATACCCATTATAATAAATCAAGTGAGAACATGAGTAAGCGAGATATTGTCAATGAACTGCATGCACCCTCATACAAGAATTTTCGACGGCGAAGAGTTGTTATGAAGGGTATAAATGATTTGTGGCAGGCTGATTTAGTAGAAATGGGGGTGTACGCATCAACTAATAACGGATATAGATATTTGCTTACAGTAATAGATACTTTTTCTAAATATGCATGGGGAGAGGCGGTAAAGTCGAAGAGTGCATTAGATGTCTCTCAAGCGATGGAGAAAATATTTAAATCAGGTCGCGGAGTACCCAAGAACATACAAACTGATGATGGAACTGAATTCTTTAATAAACAATTCAAGGCGCTAATGAAACGACATGATATTAATCATTACTCAACATTCAGTAGTTTAAAGGCCTCAATTGTGGAACGATTCAATAGAACCTTAAAGGAAATGATGTGGCGTGAATTCAGTTACAATGGTAAATACAAGTGGATTGACATTTATAAAAACCTAATTGAAATATACAACAATCGCCCGCATAGAACAATTAAAATGAAACCAAATGATGTAAATTCGAGCAATGAAAAACATCTCTTGATGACGGCATACAACCATATAAAAATATTTATAGATGGAAAATTTCGTAAGGGTGACCTTGTACGCATTAGTAAATATAAGCATGTATTTGAAAAGGGCTACACACCGAATTGGACAACAGAAATTTTTAGAATTCGTCAAGTTAAAAATACATTTCCCGCAACATATTTACTTGAAGATCTAACTGGAAGTCCCATCGAGGGAGGTTTTTATAAACAAGAAATAAAAAAAACCCGTTTTCCCGACACATATCTAGTGGACAAGGTCATAAAACGAAAAGGGGACAGAGTTCTTGTGAGTTGGTTAGGTTTCCCAAAAACAGAAAATAGCTGGATACATAAAAACGAAATTCTATAAATATGCGTACGCATGCATGCATGTATTATGGTGCTGGTGGTGGTGGTTGTGGTGGTGGGGGGCTGTTGTTTAATTTCGGCTGGCAATGAAAGGGATGGAGGTCATTTGGTTTCACAATCATATGGGTGCGTACATATTTCGGTTTTGATTAGAAATTACCTAATTTATTCTACGAAAATAAAATCCGAAATATACAACACATGGCCCTTATCTGTGCATGTGTGAGTGTATATGTTGTATGTTATATGTCTAACCGAGGCGTAATAATAAAACGAAAAGTTTCTGATGTTCAGTTCTCGCTGGAAATTCAAGCAAGTCAAAGGCGTTTAAGATGATTGTGCCAACGGTCCGTGTATTCTTTTTTTCCGTTTTTGTGTTAGTGTTTGGTGTAAACTCCGCTCCTGTGAGATATATCATAGAGAGTGAAGTGTCAAATTCTACGAAAGTGTTGGAGGATCTCCAATTCATAATAAACATTCCACATTCGGACAGAAGTCTTAAAGTGGAACTGTCATTTGATATCCTGGAAAACAGTTCCATTTACAAGGATGGTGATAGTGTTGCACTAGTGTCAACCAAAAAATCTCAAATTGAAGTGGAATCAACGGCAGCAGCAACAACAGAAACAGAAACAGAAACTACAACCACCAGCACCACCACCAGCACCCCAGAAGTGGAATCAACGGCAGCAGCAACAACAACAACAGAAACTACAACCACCACACCACCACCAGCACCCCAGAAGTGGAATCAACGGCAGCAGCAACAACAACAACAACAGAAACTACAACCACCAGCACCACCACCAGCACCCCAGAAGTGGAATCGACGGCAGCAGCAACAACAACAACAGAAACTACAACCACCACCACCACCAGCACCCCAGAAGTGGAATCAACGGCAGCAGCAACAACAACAACAGAAACTACAACCACCACCACCACCACCAGCACCCCAGAAGTGGAATCAACAGCAGAAACCTCAACCTCAACCTCACCAAGCAAACAAATACTTTTCGGTATTCATGGTACTGACGATGAGTACGATGATGATGATGATGAAAAAGATAATAGCGTAAGTCGTCCTTATAAGCGTAATATAACTTTAAAAACATCACTTTCCAATAAAAATCCATTAGTATTAACGACCAAGAGAGGAATAATAAAGAATTTTAAGGAGAATTTAGTGAGAACAGAGCAGTTAATTGGGGGACACATGGATATAGGACACAGGGGGTTTAATAGATATTTCAAGCTACAATTTAATGATGTAATGGTCGGCATAAAGTGCCATTATAGATCCATCTTGAGAAGAGATTTTGAGAATGAAAAAAGTGTAGAATTCAAATCAGTTTTAAAAATAAACTGTTTTGAATTTGCTGAAGTTTTAACTCCTGAATCGATGAAGAGAGAGAGAGCTAGTGACAAGAAATTAAGGGAGATGTTATATGAAAGTGTGAGTCGCATTAAAGCGGAGAACAGTTCAAATCATCAAATCGAGTCATATATTAGCGAAATTCAAAGCGATCAGGCTCAGATTCTTAATGAATCATACTTAAATAACAAGCGATTGACGGAAAAATTGCTTGATGAGCATTTGAAGGCAGTAGAAGAGTCGGACGGAGATCCCGAAGAATTTATACTAGTGTCAGGTTTAAATAATTATAAATCAAAACTCAATGTTAAAGTTTTGTAACAAGGTGAAAGAGAGAGAGAGAGAGAGGAGAGAGGGTTAAAAAATTATATTTTTTACAGCTCCTTTCTTATAGTAAAGAAGAAGCAGCCGTGGATGATGACACAGTAATTGCTGTAGAAGGTAAGCAAAAATAAAAAAAATTAAATACATTTTTTCGTTTGTTTTGTTTTTCTCAAACCTGATATTAATATGTTCTTTTCTTTCTTCCTTTTTTTTTTTGTATTCCAGGCGGAATTGATAACTATATTCAAGTTATTAAACTTGAAATTGAGAATTCATCGGATGAGGCATTAGTTGATGTGGGTGGTGAAATAGATAAAGCCATTTATATTAAGGGTAGCCTTAATAGTTATAAACAAAAAATACCTTTAAGCGTTTTGTAATTTGAGTAATTGAAAAATTTTAATTGTTTCATTGTTTCATTGTTCTTTGTTTATTGTGTCATATATAAAAATGTTTCGAAATAATAAAACTTATATTCTTTATTAATAAAACTTATATATATAATAACAAAAATGTTAATACTAATAGAATTGTAATAATAGAATTAATAATAATGAAAAATTTTTATACAATTTAAAGTTACAGTTTAATTCAATTTACATCAATAAAATGTTTTGTTTAAAATTTAAATTTTGACTTTTGACTTTTTTTTACTTTATTTATTTTTTATTTATTTACTCAAGTCTTCATATAGCATTTCTAACTCCTGGTTAGCGAATGCAATCATCCACTCCGATGTATCCTTTTCATTTTTACACGATTCTAGTTCAGAGGTTTGTTCACGAGTCCGACCCGGGTTTTTTTCTAGTTCCTCTATTTGTAAATCATATGCATTAATTTTCAAACTAATATCTCTAATCTCTGCCAAGAGTCGTTTTTCAAACAACTTCTGATGACCGTGGGCCAAGGTATCAATTTTATTTGGTTCGATGTATCTTTTATCATCTTTACTATCAAGTACAACTTTGTTGCATGTTGATGTAGTAAGATGATGTCCTACTGACCTAATCAACGACATATCACCCCTAACTGGCTGTTCTGTTAGCAGACATCTTTTATAAGAGCCGAAATCTAACTTGTCCACAGCACTTCTTTTCACCCCCTTAGACTTTTTACAAGTCTGTATCACCTCTCCATCTACTTTGTAGGAATACATTTTTGATCGGAGTCCAACAAACTCGAGCATGGGTCTTCCATTCAGCTCATCCTTAAAGAACCCTAACCTTTTCTTATTAACCCTCTCAAAATTATATTTCGAAATAGCTTCATCGGAATAATCCGATGTATCAAATTTGAATTGCAGATCATTACGAATATCGCTATAAAAATCATCAGTTTTTATAGTATATATAAATGAATCTGTATCCATATAATTTAATGTAGCGTTTTCCCCGAATTTAGGTTTAATGTAACCATAGTGGAAATCATACATTTTCAACTTGGACAATTCTAGCACAACAAACCCTAAATATAGGGGTTTGTTGTACACCACATTCAACTGTTTCAGTTGAATTGCATAAAAGTTTTCACTGAATTTTTTACAATTCTGAAAATTACTCTTAGCAATCAACGATCTCGCACATAATCGCTTAGCACCAGCTGAATCAGTTGGTGATGCAGATTCCCACTCATTCGTTAATTTAACTACTATCCTTTTATCTACATTCTCCATTGTTTTTCCATACACTGCATTATTCATAAGTTTCCATAGGTCTCTTGCAAAGGAATTTGTTGCATTTGTTCTATGCAGCGTGTTGAGGTCTATGTACTTTTTAAGCCACGGTTTTTGGAGGAAACGCATACCTCTATGAATTTTGGTCAATTTTAGACCATTGGCAACGCATTGTTTTAGATTATTGTAGTGGATAATATAATTCTCTTTATCCTCTAAATCAGCTATTAGTTTTTTAACCTTTGCTGATTCGGTGGGTAATTTATTGGCTGGGCAAAACGGTAGATCGTTATGATCATTATGAATTTTGTATGGATAGCTCAAGTCTACCTCAAGAATATATCCATACTCTGAATTTTCTGAAGTGTTTAAAAAGTCAATATTTGATATCTCACTTTCAGATAACCATTCAAAACCTCCATAAGGGAGATTTTGAGACATTGCCCAACCATAAAGATTGTTGGCATCCAAATACGTTAAATACGATGATTCTTTACTTGGATCATAAGTCTGCAGGTATTTATTGTTTGCCTGTGAATGGCGGAGAGAACATTGGGTTAAACCCCCACGAATACCTGACTGCATAAACCGATACATATCTATATCGGTTAGAAGTTCTAGTTCCACATCTGTGGTTCTCAACATGGCATCCCACGCAAACCCAGGAAGTGTATAATAATGAGCAGGGTCAAGATGATGCACTTTTGAGACGACCGCTCTGAAGCTTTCGAAGACATCAGCTAATAAGAAAACATCTGTTTTCAGGTACAGTTCTAAATAATCTTGTAGAGTTTTACAAGAAAATTCACTCCAAACTCTATGTGCATGGGCATAATTTTCTTCAGAGCATTCTGTCTCAGTCAACGAACTGTAGAATGCATCTCTTGATGGTAGAGAAGTCTCCTCTAGCTTGTTGACTGAGTCCAGATACTCGTACGGAAATACACCCTTTCTACGCATGAGTTCGAACTGACTGTCTGAACTGAAATGATGTCTCACTGTTTTTAGCTGTGCTTCCTCTAGTGTACCCGCAAGAGTGTCCAAGGAAGCCGGTAAAAAGCGAATCGAATCTAGAAAACGAATCTCTAGAGTCCTCTCTTCATCTATTCTAATAATCTTGGATACAGAAATGTACTGTTCCTTATTGACGGGTATTACTTTAATTTCTCCAGGTATGAGTGCCAGATCCTTGATAAAAAGATGACAATCATACCTGGAGAAATTGTGGAAAAAAACTGGAATGAAATTCCCTATTTTGTATTTTAAATTGCATGCATTGTGTGCAGCACCTCTAAATATGCCTGTCATATGGCAATGGTCTCTTACTCTATCTGTATTTAAAATACCCCCACATATATGGCAACTAATTGCCTCCTCAAACTCTATCTCTTCTTCATCACTAATTATTATATCTACTACCTTGCTTAAATAATTAATGTATATGTTTGTAAGTTTTTTAATTAAAGACTGTATAAAACTAGCACCGGCATTATATTCGGTTTTGAGAACCAACTCATCTAAACTAGAATCGTGTGCACATTTTAAATAATATGAAAAGGAAATCGGAATATGGGTATTTACATTTATTGTGTTTGCACTTACTGCTATATTTGTCGGCTCCAGAAGACATTCAAAGTCTCCGTATACCACAAACGGTACCTTAAGAGCTCGATGCTGATTTTTGAACTTAAGCAGTGCTTGCTTCGGATGAGGAAGTGTGGACACCTTCCCACTACATATCTCCTTGTGTCGTAGGGATGCCTCCTCACTCTGCGAATAATTCAAGCAAATGTTGCAGAACCATTGCTTCACCTTGCGCCTTCCAGTCTGCGATGAAATTAACCTAGAGATATAAACGGGGTGGAGGGTGATGAAAAATAGCTATATATACTAATGAAAAATAGCAACCGCTACATGAACTACAAGAACTACAAGAACTACAAAAACAACAACAACAGTGGTAATAAAATTTAAAGTTCACTTACGCTGATAACCGCTTAATCCAGGTATAGTGAGCACTGTGGTCACTTTCTATGAGCAGCATATTAATATGATGCTCGCGTACCTCCTTCGGATAAAACAAGGGTCCAAACACTTGTGATTTTTCGTTGTCGAATCCAAACAACGTTATACTAATATCCGGGTTTATATCCATAAACCTTTGGATGTGTCTTGGGTTCAGCGGGAAATCCAGTCCAGCAAACTGCAGAGTTATATTTTTCACAGTTATTGCATCATCATATATCCTCACGTTGTATGAGGCACAACGGGTTGCGTTATTATCCAGATTGGTTAGGGCCGCAATCAATGTCCACTTAAAACAGAGGTCATCGTCTCTGTTGGCTACATTTATTATTGCCTTTTTCCGCTTTAGACTGTCTGGCAAGTCAATGAATGATGATCCTTTTATCGGATCATATTGGTTGACATTCATCTCCAACCGTATAATGTGGACTAATGTCCATCCACTATCCTTTTCCTGGAACTCATCCATTTTGGTTGCGATTGCCTCTGAATGTTTTGTGTATATATCATCAGAGTCGCCACATACACTCATAACAGTCATTTTTGACTGAAATGATTTAATTTCGCTCTTCTCTTGATCCATTTTCATCAGTTTATAAAGAGCATAGAGCTCAAAGTTCACCTTTGCAGCGGTGTGACTCTGCAGGACGGAATTTAAATGAGGTAGGAATGATTCACCAGCTTCACGTAGGAAGTCTACTGGCATTTTTATTCCCTCATCCCGATTTTCATACACATAATGTATGATTCGTCCACCGAATCCGGCCGATACTCGCTTGATTCGATCATCAACCGGCTCAATAACCTTAATTTTGTGTTGTTCTGATCTGAGATGTTGATGCCATCTCACATTGATTGGCAGGGTCACGTCACAGACGGGGCAATATATCGGGGTGCGATTCATATTGATGGTTTTGTTTTTTGGATGCTTTTCGTGAAGATGATGTTGTTGATGTTGTAGTGATGCTTTTGATGCTTTTCGTGAAGATGATCTTGTTGAGGATGGATGTTGTTGATGCTTTTGATGCTTTTGATGCTTTTGATGCTTTTGTAGTAGTTGTTGTTGTTGTTGTTGTTGTTGTTGTTGGGTTCACTGGCACTCAACTCAATTTCACTCACTCACTCACTAATTGATTCTTTGTCCTCGACTTGTACGATATGTGGATCGCGCACGCGGAGTTTTTTTCTTTTGTTTTGTTTTTTTAAATTTATTTTTCACAGATACGATAAACGGGGGTTATGTGGGAATAGAATACGAATACGAATACGTTTGTATGTTTGAACAACTTGTTTGAAACTGAAAAATATTTTTCATATTTTTTAATTTGTAGTTCTAACGTTGTTCGTTTTTGAAATGAAACAGGTAAAATCCCTCCCCCTAACAAATACAAGTTGTATCCTATATTTGGTAGGGTGGCCTGTGACCTCTCGTATTCATTTTCCCACCTGGTCATAGAACCTTGACAATAGTACATGCTACGATTTGCTAGCAGCGACCCTAAAATTAGTAGACCCTAAAATTAGTAGATCATTGTTAGCACACACGCACACAAACAGACCCTTAGCCTCAAATATAATATATTAGGGTACCCGCATATGCGGGTGGTGGTGGTCCGGTACCATACATATGTCAACTGTACACCTGAGCACCTGCTCTGCAGGGTAAATGAGGGGGGCAAATATCGGTCACTAGGTCAACAGGTCACAGGTCATTAACAGAACAGAACAGAACAGAACAGAACATAACAGACATGATCTGATTAGTTGTTGTTGTTGTTGTGGCAGCGACCCTTTAATTAGTATATCACCACCACCACCACCCCTCACGCATGAGAGCACACCCCTAAATAGCACCCTCATTAAGGAAACTAGGTCAACTGCCATGATCTGACTAGTTGTTGTTGTTGTGACAGCGACCCTTAAATTAGTAGAAGTTAACAATACAGACAATTAAAAATTAACCTCGGATTGAGCTGTACGCAAACGCACGCACTCCCCACCCCCCGACTTAAACAGGTGTCAGAGAGTAGGGAGGGTGTATACAACTTCATTACGGCTAACGAGAACTCACCCTATAACACTCCCTTCGCCAGCAACTGTACGCATGTGCAACCTACCCGACCAATCAAATTCAACCACCGTCACGCATGAGACCACACCCTTCAACCCCATACGCATGTGCAACCAACCACCGTCACGCATGAGCATACATGTACGCAGCTGCAACCAACCAACCCTCACGCATGAGCGCACACCCCTCAATTTCACCCTCATTAACGTAACTAGGTCAACTCTCACCCCCCTTTTTACCTAATTAGGTCAACTCTCACCCCCCTTTTTATAATTTATTACCCCTTAATTACCCTCCCACCCCCCTTAATTGTGATTAATGGCCCATTAATCATCCCCCCACCCCCATTAATTGTAATTAATGACCCATCAATCACCCCCACCCCCCGCATTATTACACTACTTATATTTTTCCTTTTTCAATTAAGATTTGTTAAGTTGTATAAAAAGCCGTTTTCTTTTTTTTTTTTTGGGAATTTTTGGTGGGTTTAAAAAAAAAAAAAAAAAGAAAATTAAAAGGAAGAGGGGGGGGTGAAAAAGCCCGACGAAAATGGAGCAAGCTGCAGCGAAACTGTAGTTACCTTTTGTGTCTGTGTATTTTTTCGATTTTGTAAACCTTTGTTCAAAGGAGAAGAAAAGAAAAGAAAAGGAGAGGGGAGAAGGGGGGAAAGAAAAAAGGGGAGGGGAAAGGGGGAAAGAAAGGGGGAAAAAAAAAGAGTGGAAAAAAAAAAAAAAAAAAAAAAAAAAAAAAAAAAGCAAAAAAGAGAAAAAGAGGTATAAAAAAAAGAAAAAGAAAAAAAAAAAAAGGAGAAAGAAAAAAAAAAGAATAAATCAAATTAATATTATTTTCGATCAGAATTCCCAAGAAGATTACTTTGGTGTTTCTTTCAATATTTAACTAGAAACCAACGGAACCAACCCCGAACATGGTACGAAAATCTTTTAAGCTTCTTTACGCCAAAATGCATTAGGCTGCATAAATATCTACTGACACGAACAAATAACGTACGCATCGAGTCCAGCCTCGACGCAAAAAGATTTCCTTAAAATTCACACACACATAAAAAGACTAGCAGAAAATGATGGAGCAAAGAGAAAAACCAAATTTTCTTAATGCAAAGACTTGCATTGTGGAATTTTTATGGTTATGCTTTTGCTATGGGAGGCACGATTTTGAATAGAAGTTTGTGATGCATAGAAGAAAGTTTTATCCGACGACAGTATATTTACATGTTCAAACATACAAGCACGCCGTTTTTTTCCTTATGCATAAAAAAAAACCCTCCAGCGCTGCTTTTTAACTTTTTACTACATGAAATTACACATATAGGGGCACACACAAAGGTAGATGCACATCCATATCCAGGGGCACATGATTCGGTATTATTATTTCTGCCGTTTCTGTCGATTATAGCACTACGACTATGTACATTCCTATACGATATGAAATGTAGCTTAGCATTAGTCTTAAGTCTTTCAATACTATGGTGAAATTCATTCTTCCCGCTTTAGAGAAATGTCATTTGAGTTAATTTCTTTCTCCAATTATTTTCCATTTGGGTTGAAAACAAAAGTATCAGTGTTGTGCCTTAACTCCAATTAAAGTTTCAAGGCGCCATTTTACAGGGATTTTATGAACGAACCCATTTCGCAACCTTGCAAGGCAAGGCCTTGCCCCGTAATTTGCTTATAAAACTCTAGACTAGACATTCTATTTCTCGCACACTCTGCCTTGTTATGTACGCGAGCGCCCTGTAGCGGAGGAGATGTAGAATCTAAATGGTACATGTATAATCTACATGTAAGATGTAGAATATACAAAGTAGATGTAGATAACAGATGTAGCAAAAAAATGTAAAATGCTAATTTTTTTTTTTATTCTAAAATTTTAAATTCTAATTCTATACTGACTGAGTACGGGTATAAGTAGAGTCGCGTCCCAGAAGCTACTCAAACGTTCCATCTCGTTAATTTCTTCATTCTGGCTATAATTATGATCCGATCTAGTTCAGATTCGGCAATCTGGTAGATATGGTCATTCTCTACGTTACTGCGTTTTTAGTTTTATCGTATCTTTAAAAATGTGCCTGCCACAGATTTTCGTCCTTTTTGGGGGCGGAAGGGGGCGGGGCGAAATTTTGAAATACACTTGCAGCAGTGTGATATCACATGAGTCTGGAAACCAAATTTGGTTACCCTAGCTCTTATAGTCTCTGAGATCCAGGCGTCAAACAAGACGGACAGACGGACAGACAGACATGGCTCTATCGACTCGGCTATTGATGCTGATCAAGAATATATATACTTTATGGGGTCGGAAACGTTTCCTTCTCTGCGTTACACACATCCACTTTTACCACAAATCTAAATACCCCTTAATTTTTTTTTGAGTACGGGTATAAAAAGGGCACAATCTCAATTGCACTGGTAATGAAGGCAAATTCAAGTCAATGCATCATAAAGTCATCTATATTTTTCCTTTTTCAATTAAGATTTGTTAAGTTGTATAAAAAGCCGTTTTCTTTTAATTTCGGTGAGGAATTTGTTGCCGTTTTGAAAACGGAAAAGTCTTACGTTTTTAAGCCGGAGCATGCCTGTATGTATAAGCCCGATGAAATTCGGCCAACTGCAGCGAAACTGTAGTTACTTTTGTGTCTGTGTATTTTTTCGATTTTGTAAACCTTTGTTCAAAGAAAAGATGGGAGAAGGCCAGAAAACTTTCGTTGTTATGACAACGTGGTACAGAAAATGTGGCAGAGGTGGAGGCCAAACTGAATGGCTAAATCAAATTTGTTTTATATTTAATACAGAATTCTCAATTGAAAGTTTACTTCAAGAGCCTTCAATGGCAGTACAAATCTAAGTTAGTTTACAAAAGAGTAGAGCCAATTAAATCAACATAATTCAATTGACAAATACCATTTAGGAGAGTACGAGAATATTACTTTGGTTTTCTTTCAATATTTAACTAGAAACCAACGGAACCAACCCCGAACATGGTACGAAATCTTTTAAGCTTCTTTACGCCAAAATGCATTAGGCTGCATAAATATCTACTGACACGAACAAATAACGTACGCATCGGGTCCAGCCTCGACGCAAAAAGAT